TAAATTTCTCTACTTGTGTACTAAAAATTGACAAAACTCTTTTTTTTTTTTTTGACAAAACTCTTTTTAAAATCCTATCCAAGCCAGGCATGATGGCTCATGCCTATAATCCCAGCACTTTGAGAGGACAAGGCAGGAGGATTGTTTGAGGCCAGGCATTTGAGACCAGCATAGGCGACATATTGAGACCCTACAAGACTTTTTTTTATTTATTTTATTTATTTATTTATTTATTTATTTTTTGAGTTGGAGTCTCACTCTTTCGCCCAGACTGGCTCCCGGCCACCGCAGCCTCGACCTGCTGGGCTCTGGCCTCAGCCTTCCAAGTAGCTGGAACTACAAGTGTGTGCTACCACGCCCGGCTGATATTTTGATTTATGGTAGAGATGAGGTCTCGCCAAGTTGCCCAGGCAGGTCTCGAACCCGCGGGCTCAGGCAATCCACTCACCTCAGCCTCCCAAGGTGTGGGATTACAGGCTGAGCCACCGAGTCAGGCTGACATTTTTAAAAAATTAGTACATGGTGGCACATGCCTGTAGTTCCAGCTACTTGGGAGGCTGAGGTGGGAGATTCACTTAAGCCCAGAAGTTTGAGGCTGCAGTGAACTATGATGGCACTACTGCCCTCCAGCTTGAGTGACTGAATGAGACACTGTCTCTAAAAAAAAAAAAAAAGGAATTCTGCACACAAGCCCTCTTGCTGGCCTCCGGAGAACTTGGCCTCGCTCTGAGTGGGACAAAAGCTCCCAGAGAGCTTTGCATGCAGGCGTGTTGGAAGCCCTTGGCTCCGGGTGGGGAGTGGAGGGGAGGGGGCCTGAGGGTGGGCCAGGGATCCAGCTAGGAGGCTGCTGCAGCCACCTAGGCCCTCAGAGCACCTAGTCCCAGAGCGCCTGGAGCCTGAGCAGGCCTCTGCGTGCTGAGAGCACTGGGCTTGCTTTCTTCTGAGAGCTTTTCTGTAGTTACTAAACCCTGACCTTGACCATGACCTGTGAGTGCATACAGTTAACAAGTTTTATTAGCCAGGCGTGGTGGCGCGTGCCTATAGTTCCAGCTAGTTGGAAGGCTGAGGCAGAAGGATCACCTAAGCCCAGCAGGTCGAGGCTGCGTTGGCCGCGAGCGTGCCACTGCCCTCCAGCCTGGACGACGGAGTGAGACTCCAACTCAAAAAACAAAACAAAACAACAACAAAAAATCGAGTTTTGAACATCCCATCCACCTTCCAGGTTCCAATTCAAGCAATGCCTCCCTTGGGAAGTCTGCCGGGATTCCCACCAGCCGCCACAGATCACCCCCTCTCTGGTGACCACCCAAGACCCAACCTGGCTGGAATGCGGTCTTTCTGCCCCGGCCAGTCTGGAAGCCCACGCCTGATGGTAGGAAACCTAGGGAATCCCTCAGTGCTGTGGGAATTGTGCGCTCTTGGGGTGGGGCGTCCCCACGTTCTGTCTCTGCCTCACAGACCAGCCTCCACGACTGTGAATAGCAGGGTCCTCTGTCCACAGTCACTGTGGCCTGTTGTTGTCACCCCCAAGTCCCTCATGCTCCAGGGACTCTCTGGTAAGCCTTGAGCCCTTGGCCTCATTAATCCGTTAGACCCAGGGGTTCCTCGGTGGCTGTCACGGGAGACTGGGTTTCCCATGGGAAGGGCACACCAGCCATCACTTGCCTTGGGTTTCCTCCAAGAAGGCGAATGTATGAAGTGAGAATGAAGGGTTCCATTAGAGCTAGCCAGCACTTTTTTGTTTGTTTGTTTTTGTTTTTTTTTTTTTGAGTTGGAGTTTCACTCGGTCACCCAGACTGGAGCGCAGTGGCCTCTCCCGGCCACCGCAGCCTCGACCTGCTGGGCTCTGGCGAACCTTCTGCCTCAGCCTTCCGAGTAGCTGGGATTACAGGCACGTGCTACCACGCCTGGCTGATTTTTTGATTTATTGTAGAGATGAGGTCTCGCTGCCCAGGCGGGTCTCGCACCCGCGGGCTCAGGTGATCCACTCACCTCAGCCTCCCAAAGGCGCGGGATGACAGGCTGAGCCACCAAGCCCGGCTCAGCACTTTTTTTTCTTAGTTGAGATCTCACTCTGTCGCCCAGGTTGGGGTGCAGTGGCACGATCACAGCTCACGGCAGTCTCGACCTCCTGGGCTCAGGTGATCCTTCTGCCTCAGCCTTCGGAGTAGTTGGGACTACAGGTGCACGCCACCACATCTGGCGATTTTTGTTTTGTAGAGATGTGGTCTTGCTATCTTGCCCAGGCTGGTCTGGAACCCCTGGGCTCAAGTGATCCTCCCGCCTCAGCCTCCCAGAGTGCTGGGATGACAGGCACGAGCCACCGCACCCAGCCCAACTGGCACATATTGAAATGAAGCCCCCAGTTGCAATCCTGCTCCCTGACCCTTGGGTCTGCCTGAACCCAGCTCAGCGCCAGCAGAAGATGCCCCAGGCTCCGGTGACTCGACCCGTTC